GAAGGAGAGGAGGGAGGAGGAGGTCGCCGGAGGAGGAGCACCGTGAGGAGGAGAGGAGGGAGGAGGAGGTCGCCGGAGGAGGAGCACCGTGAGGAGGAGGTCACCGGAGGAGGAGCATCGTGAGGAGGAGGAGGTCGCCAGAGAGGAGGAGATGGAGTGGAGGAGAGGAGGAGAGGAGGAGATGGAGTGGAGGAGAGAAGGAGAAGAATGAAGGGGTAAGTGGCTGGCCGACCCTTTTCTACTTCTGTCCCAACTTAGCAGTGGCGCACCATGCACTGGTGCGCCATTGCTATTTTTTTGAATTGTAAAGGCGGGAAAATAGTAGTGGCGCATTATTCACTCATGCGCCATTGCTATTTTTTCGATTTTTTTGCCTCCCGATCTTAAAAGCATCGTAATTTTTTTCTGTTAGGTTTTTGGGATTCTAATTTTTTTTTTTCTGTTGAATTTGGATATAACTTTTCGAGTAGATGATTTTTTATATAAAAACTTTTTAATCCGAGTTCGTATGCAAAAGTTATGCCCATTTTTACTAAATTTTAGAGAGATTTTTCAAATAAATTTGAAATTCATATTTGTAAATTTTCCCAACAACTAGACCACATATCACATGGGAAACACATATTTTTTTTTGACATTTCCATCATTTTCTTTTTTTAAACTGAAGAGGCGGTCCGAGGGTGCATTTGGTGAAATTTTTGCTCAAAGTTAGTAATGGCGCACCGTGGGTGTGGTGCGCCATTACTAGTTAAAACTAGTAATGGCGCACAATCCCCAGATGCGCCATTACTAGTTCGAAAAAAAATAAAAATATTGTTAGTAGTGGCGCACCGAGGGTGTGGTGCGCCATTACTAGTTTTGAAGAAAAAAATCTTAGTAATGGCGCACCGTGGGCGTGTGCGCCATTAGTGATATGGCCATAATGACGTACCTATATATGGTGCGCCACTGCTATATAGCAGTGGCTATAGCAGTGGCGCACCACATACGTGGTGCGCCATTAATGTCCATATTAGCTATAGCCATTTTTCTACTAGTGGGTCCGCCACCTCAACCGGATCCGGCAAGGGATGCCGCGCGGCCGTGCCGATTTGGCCTCCCGTGAAGGAGATGCCCAGCGGGGGTTGCCAGATCCGGCGAGGGATGCCGCGTTGCAGCCCCGATTTGGCCTCCAGGGCGAGAAGCCGTCCAACGTCGGTTGTCGGATCCTACGAGGGGTGCCGCCCCCTCCCTCGGATTTGGCCTCCTGCGCGAGGAGGCACCAGACGCCGGCTGCGTTGACCACCCCAAGCAGTGGCAAGGATGCACTTGGGCTTATTGCATTTTTCTTCTTCTTTTTGATTTAGGGGTGTTTATGTAAAATCTATGGAATAGTTTGTAAAATTATATTAAAATTGACCTGACACGAAATGTTACGCCACGTAGGCAAAAAAGGACCATATCTGTCATAAACGCACTTAACCGAGCCAAATCCACCGATCAATGGTTTTTTAAAAAACAATTACGCAAGATGTGGTGTTTTCTGCGGAGAAACTATATCCTAGTGTATTTCGCAAGCCTAACCCTTAAAATGATAAAACATTGTTTCCTCGACGATATTCTTGAGGAAAGGTTGTATGTGATACAACCAGAAGGTTTTGCCAATCCTGAAAGATGCTAACAAGTATGCAAAGCTCCAGCAATCCTTCTAAGGACTGGAGTAAGCATCTCAGAGTTGGAATATACGCTTTGATGAGATGATCAAAGATTTTGGGTTTATACAATGTTTATGAGAAACTTGTATTTGCAAAGAAGTGAGTGGAAGCACTATAGAATTTCTGATGAGTATATGTTGTTGACATATTGTTGATCAGAAATGATGTAGAATTACTAGAAAGCATGTAGGGTTATTTAAAAAGTGTTTTTCAATGGAAAACCTGGATTAAGCTGCTTGAAAATTGAGCGTCAAGATCTATAAGGATAGATCAAAAACGCTTAATAATACTTTCAGATGAATACATACCATGACAAGATTTTGAAGGAGTTCAAAATAGTTCGGCAAAGAAGAAGTTCTTGGCTGTGTTATAAGGTATGAGTATTGAGTGAGACTCAAGACCTGACCACGGCAGAAAAGAGAGAAAGGACGAAGGTCATCCCCTATGCTTTAGACATAGGCTCTACAGTATGCTATGCTGTGTACCACACCTAAAGTGTGCCTTGCCATGAGTCAGTCAAGGGGTACAAGTGTGATCACGGATTGGATCACAGCACGGCTGTCAAGGTTATCCTTAGTAACTAGTGGACTAAGGAATTTTCTCGATAATGGAGGTGGTAAAAGAGTTCGTCGTAAAGGGTTACGCTGATGGAAACTTTGACACTCATGCGGATGACTCTAAGTAGTATACCGGATTCGTATAGTAGAACATTCATTTGGAATAGCTTCAAATAGAGCGTGGTAGCTGCATCTAGGAGATGACATAGAGATTTGTAAAGCACAAACGGATCTGAAAGATTCAGACCTGTTGACTAATAACCTCTCTCACAAGCGAGATATGATCAAACCCAATGGGTGTTGGACTCGTTACAATCACATAGTGATGTGAACTAGATTATTGACTCTAGTGCAAGTGGGAGACTGTTGGAAATATGCCCTAGAGGCAATAACAAAATGGTTATTATTGTATTTCCTTGTTCATGATAATTGTCTATTGTTCATGCTATAATTGTATTGACCGGAAACCGCAATACATGTGTGAATACATAGACCACAACATGTCCCTAGTGAGCCTCTAGTTGACTAGCTTGTTGATCAACAGATGGTCATGGTTTCCTGACCATGGACATTGGATGTCATTGATAACGGGATCACATCATTAGGAAAATGATGTGATGGACAAGACCCAATCCTAAGCATAGCACAAGATCGTGTAGTTCGTTCGCTAAGAGCTTTTCTAATGTCAAGTATCATTTCCTTAGACCATGAGATT